AATGCACTCCAGTTATTACATTGATTTTTTAAATTCCACCATCAGCACACCTGATTGAATTTAATGAAATATTGATTACTCTGTAAAAAAATGTCAGGTCAAATTATTAAGACAACTTATTTCACAGCTTTTTTTGACTTTACCTAACTTGAGGGCTCTGATAAACTGTCAAACCTTTTCACTTTTTGTTAGTGGATGGCTAAAGCACAGTGACATCAAATCAGAATGTATTACATTAAAATAAATATAAATATGCATTAATGTTAGAGTTTTCTAAACAAATGAAGTTGGGAATTCTTTAGCAATTAAAGGATCTTTTTCTTGTATTTTATTTTCCCTTATAAAGTTTGTGAGTTTGTGAGAAATTCTTTTCTACATGGCTTGTGTCCAGCCTTGGCCATGCAGAACCAATCTTTATCCCTCAGAATTAAACAGGATGTTTTTGTTAATATGATAATATATAAATGACCTCTGTTCTGTTTGGCTGCCCTGTATTGCGCTTTCTTCAACAAGCAGTCCAGTCTAAACTGCTCTAGGCTGAACAGACAGATGTGTAAACATATTGGTTTTGGTGATGTCACAAAAACCACAAATTCAAAACGTCAGTGTTAATCAGCATCCGGAGTTGTAGGCTGAACAGGTGGATATATGTAAATACTTTGGTTTTCATGACATCAGAAAAATAATGGATTCAAATCTGGCTTTTTTTTGCAGCACAATTTCCATGTGTAAACTGTATGGACAGGGAAATGAACGTTATGTTCGGGAAACTTTAACAATGCTTACATACAGCATCAGTGAGCCCTTTGACGGTTATTGCAGGTATAGCAGAACTGTAAACTAGCAGATTCTAAATTCAAGTGTTGCAGAAAACTTCTACTGTAAAACAACATCTAGCAGCTGTGATCTTATGGAGAGAATGAAAGAAAGACAGGCCCAGATGGCACAGTGTTTCTGTGCCATGTGCTCTTCACCTTTGTAGTCTCAGTGTAGTGTCTCTGTAGTCTATGTCTTTTGGCTGTGCAGTGACTGTATGTAGTCTGTGTATAGCGTCTGTGTTCTCTCTGTCTGTATGTAGTCTATGCATAGTGCCTGTGTTCTTCTGTCTGTACAGTGTCTCTGTAGTGTCTGTGTAGTCTCTGTCTATTGTCTGTACAGTGTTGCTGTAGTGTCTGTGTAGTCTCTGTCTATTGTCTGTACAGTGTCGCTGTAGTGTCTGTGTAGTTTCTGTCTATTGTCTGTACAGTGTCGCTGTAGTGTCTGTGTAGTCTCTGTCTATTGTCTGTACAGTGTCGCTGTAGTGTCTGTGTAGTTTCTGTCTATTGTCTGTACAGTGTCGCTGTAGTGTCTGTGTAGTCTCTGTCTATTGTCTGTACAGTGTCGCTGTAGTGTCTGTGTAGTTTTTGTCTATTGTCTGTACAGTGTCGCTGTAGTGTCTGTGTAGTCTCTGTCTATTGTCTGTACAGTGTCTCTGTAGTGTCTGTGTAGACTCTGTTGTCTGTGTATTCTGTGTGCAGTGTCTGTGTAGTTTCTGTCTATTGTCTGTGCAGTGTCTTTGTAGTGTCTGTGTAGACTCTGTTGTCTGTGTATTCTGTGTGCAGTGTCTGTGTAGTTTCTGTCTATTGTCTGTGCAGTGTCTGTGTAGTTTCTGTCTATTGTCTGTGCAGTGTCTGTGTAGTGTCTGTGTAGCATCCATGGGTTAACAGCAGCTTCACCTCCACCCAATTGAGGTCAGCTGGTCAGGTGAGGGGAGGGGAGGGTGACGGAGACTGGGACTGCCTTTAGGAGCTTACACAGATTCCTCTAGCTAAGCCCGTTTCTTAGGCAAACTGTAATTTACATATTCCTGTTGAGTAATTTCCCTATTTCAGCCCTGTGGTGTCCCTCCTCACTGTTTGAAAGCTTTTACCAGATCGATTTCCTGTCTCATAGGGAAACAGTGTAAACACTGGCGTAAGCCAACTGAGCTGATCTGGATGCTGCTACGTTAGAGTTCAATGAGTATGCGGCTCAAAAGCAGCTGAGTGCAATGCAAATCTGGAAGACAGTTTGGGACATAGGCTGAGACATATGGCATATCATGTGCTGTCCTCACAGTATGCTAGTAAGAAGATTAGCCTGGGCTTTAGTGATACCTAAACATAAAGTTTGATGTGATGAAAAGAAGGGAATGCTGGGTAGCAATTAAGACTACAGACTTGGCTCACATTTATAAGCATGTATGGATCCTGTTAGTTTTCCGGATAAATCACCCTCAGCGATATTTCTCTGATAAAAAATATGATAACCATTGTATTATCTTTGTTTAATGTCGTTTCAATGTGTTATGGTCCTTTTCTTCATAATAAACATAAAAATTGCTAGTAGTTTGCTGATGTCTGGGTAGCTAGCGAGCTACATTTCATGCTTCACCTTAAATGGTGCATTTAAGGTGGAATGGGAAAATTCAAACAAGATACAATATTTTCATACTACATCAACTGACTTAATTTTTAAGATTTCAGTTTTCTATCATGTGGGCCCTCTAAACTACAGTGGGCCAGGTCATCTCCTAGCACATAGCTCATCTGAGCCCTACAGTAGGCACAATACTTCCTAAGGTGTCAGAATGTAATAAATCCAAACCATGAGTGGTATTTGTACCTAAACACTCTAATCTTACATAATGTTTCTCTCCAAAAAAGGTTGAGAAAGGCTTTATGTAAACTGCACTGTAATGGGAATTTTCAGTGCAGTCCTTTGCCATTGATTTATGCTTTTGAAGCATTTATGAAGAAGAAAACAAAGGCTTATTGTTTTCCAGGCTGATCTATGGGGTTATATGGGATCTTTTATTTTTTGAAAGCCTTTAAGTAATAAGTGGTATCGACTTACAAAAAAAGTCCAAAAAGTAAGTATTGCAAACAGTTGCAAAACCTTTTAAATGAAAAAAGTCTGACAGTGTCTGCCAATTTACAAAATCAATTTCTCATATTTTGCTAACATTTGAAATGAACACAACAATGCTAGTGATTATGTCTAAAAAACTCCCAAGGTATTACTGGGTAACAAAGGTAGTAGAAGCAGAAGTAGATGTGGTTAAGGACCCATATGCTGATATTCTGGTGCTGATCTATCAAGCACAACACAACACCAAAGCTTTGTCCTAAAAAAGGCAGTTAAAGTTTTAACATCTCTCTGCTCTGGGCCTTCAAACAAAAGCTGCTAATCTTGAGCTGCCATAACAAGGTCATTTTTTGGGTTAGAGATTATGGGGACAAAAGTGAAACCTATCGAAAAGAATTTGCATCAACTCTATACCACAGAAGCACCCGGACGTAGAACACAGTAGTTGCACAAGACATGTACTGAATGATGAAACTGATTTGTTTTTTGCTCTATAGCTTTGCAAACCAAATGACGGACACATATAATCAGATTTACCAGAATAAAACTTCAGGGTTGCTGAGCTCTTGTATAAACATTTGAGCAGAAGCCACTAATATTCCTCACACATTTCCAGGACACTGTGTTTCATAACCTGTCATCTGCTACTGGCCAAGACCCACTAAATGCATACAAATCCTGTGCTGCTCCCGAATGCTGCAGCCAGTGTCTCAGACGGTGCCAAGAGATTAATGACTGGAGTAGCAGCACCACCACTCTGAACCATCACCCTGCCACTTCCATAGCATCTCCCAGCTGTGTGAGGACCTGTTACTGCTAGATCTATGCCAAATCAGCAAAGTGTCTCTTAATCAGACACTTTCTCTTCTGTGATGTAGTGCAAAGTACAAGGAACAAATGGGAGATTGGGGCTCTACTGCACATAGAATTGAATTTTTTAATTCTACCAGATTTCAAATATTCAATTTCTACCTGATCACAGCTTTCTAGGAAATAAACATACTGTTTTTCTGGTGCTTGCTGATCTGAAGAAGGTCTACAGTGTATAAACCCCTAATCTGAACCCTTAAAAAAATGATCATTTTAGTCATAGAACCATGGCAACTCAAAGGAGTAACTGTTTAAAAGGGTTTTCGTTATGATTAAAATCTATTCTTTTTAACCCTTTAAAATCACAGGCTTATACACACTTATTATTCAGAAACTACAGTGACTTCAATGCAAACTGTCTGAGCTATTCTTATGTTACTTTGGGCCTTTTAAGGGATTAAAGAACATTTTAAAAATGGTTCATTCAAGTCATAGAACTTTATATATATAATATATTATATTATATATATATATATATCAGTTTTTAACTTCTACACTCTTAAAAGGGGGTTCTTTTAACTCCTCACACTTAAACCTTTAAAAAAGGAGGGTTCTTTGGTGAAGGCAATGGTTAAATATGGAACTATGACAACTCAAAAGAACCAACTGAATGTTTCTGTGATTCTTTGCATGACTGGATGGGTCTTTTCCATGATGGACAAGCTGTTATATATGGTTCTTTTAAAGGACTATATATAATGTTTTTGCTAAGATTGTACTTGACTGCAACTTTCTAAAAGATGAATATGCTGTTTTTTAGAGCAAACCTTTGAAATCTTTCTGATCAGAAGTTTCCCACTGATTTTTCAGATTACTTCAGATTGCAGCTTTCTAAGAGACTACAACTCACCAGTAATCCATTCTGTTTTTCATTTGCATTACTTTCCAATCTGAAGTTGCTCCAGGCCTTTTGTGAAACACTAGCCACCCTTAGATGAATCAATCTAAGTGTCTAGTCGGAGGTCAACAAGGGCAAAGTATTTACTGTATATTGCAGAAACCAAACTGTATACTTTTGACTTTCATTTAACCATCATACAGCAGCAGTGCAGCCAAATAAACAATCACCCAAACAACAATAAACACATATTAGACCCTTTTTACGTCAGCAAAAGGGTCCCTTGTTGAGGCCTGGTGTGGAGCATGCTAGAGCAGAAAACAGCAGTAAGAGGCTTTGAGTAAAGCCCTGAGAGAGCATGCGGTGCCCTCGTACCGCTAAGCCCTTCGTCTGAACCTTTACTTACCTTTCAGAGATTGAGGAATTCACCTTTTCTTTCTTCACTTCTCCTCCTTTCTTCCTCCCAACCCTTCAGGCAAGTCCACAGGCTCAGCTCAGTTTGAAGAAGCAGAAGAAAAGCAGGAATAAACTTCAACAGCCTGGAAAACAATACACTTGTCTACACATTCTGCATGTTCCTGCACCCTCCTAAGACTTTCTATATGTGTATATGTGGGACTGTTGGTCTGGAACTACCTGTAGCTGAGAGATGCTGGGTCAGGCAGCAGCAGCCAGCCAGTGACGCCCTCCCTCATTCACACTCATGATCCTACTTAGAGAGGAGGCCGGGCTTATGGAGCACATGCGGGAGGACTGAGGAAGGGAGAGAGGGAGGTAGGGAGGGGGCTTAAACAAAGGTCTGCTGGTCAGTTCAGCCGACACAGCTCAGTGAATAGCCCACAGTCAGAACTTTCCAACCACATGTCTCTCGCCCCCTGTGCTCTCTCTCTCCTTCTCTGTCTTTGTATTGTGCATGGAAAAAGGTCAAGGTTCTGTGTCTAAAAATGGACCTGGGTGTGTCTGATACAAACCATGAACAATTTGTTTAGGCAAATGGCAAGAGGCTGACATACAGGACAACATCAAAAATACAGGGAAAGCGAAACAGAATGAAACAAGACATGCAGGAAGTGAAATGACTGTGATCATTTGAATTACACTACAACCTATACAGTTTCCTGAAAGGCCCTTGGCTTGAATACACTTTACAGGAAGAACATTTATTTGCTTAACATTATGTGAAGGTTCTTTAAACTTCAAAAGGGTTCTTCACACTTGAACAGCTTGTTTAGTTCTTCACTCAAAGGCTCATTGAGGCAGTGGTTCTCAAAGTGGGGTCTGAGGACACCCAGAAGTAGCAACATCATACAAATGTTTGACAGTCAGGCCAATGTAGCAGACCATTTAGTGAGGAGGACAATGAATTTAAAGTGAAAGCAAAAATGTTTTAAAAGTACAATGACAAAAAAAATGAAGTTTAGTGTTACTGACAAAAATGACAGAAAGCTTCAGCGTGTAATATGTTTCAGGGTCCATGAAGCCAACCAAGCTACAGATTATAACAGCCAAACAAAAGGATTCTGATTTTGTAGATCAGTGGATTGCTAAAAGCATAAACACACAGCTAATTGGGAAAGAGCTCCTGTTCCCACCAAATAAATATGGTACATACGTGCCACTGAACACTTCGATTGTATGCACAAAACACATTGTAGGGGTCCAATATTTAAATGCAAAGCACTTTTTAGACCAGGTTTGTTTGTCTCTCTCTCTCTCTCTCTCTCTCTCACTCACTCACTTTCAGCAGGCTAAAAAATCTCCACAAGTGCACCACTCAAACACTTTTTAATGCTTCATAAGAGCACTGCTTTGCACCAATAGCTATGTTTTAATACCTCAAAAAGTTTGGGGCTGTAGGCTATGGCACCAGAATTTTTTGAGAATATTTTATGCCGACACAACTTTTTCCGTCCAACTTTAGAGGAAACCTTTGGCCTCATTCTCCAATATTTAAGTTTGTTCTTAAATCTGTTTTTGAGAAAGGCCCTAAGAAAAAGTCTGTCAGATTCATGACGTATTAGTAGAAATTCAGGGTTAAGGTAACAGATTTCCCTCACATGCCTCTTATATCATACGTAAACATAGTGGAGACATACAGCAGGACAGAGGAGGAGATGAGAGAGTTTTTAAAAAGAATGCTGCCATTCTTTTAGAGAAGGAGTTTCCAGAAAAAGCTACAGCCTTTCTAAATGGAAAGAACAACTTAATTTCTCCAGCTTGATATCTCGTGTAATAGTTCTGATAAAATAAAATAAAAATTTAATTAAATTACTTTCAATTAAATTAAATATCCTTATCAGTAAGTTATGGGGGGCTCAGGGAGTTACATGAAATTAGAGATAGAAACATCAAACAGCACTTTTTTTTAATCAGTGAACCTAAAGTGATGCGACAATTTTTTGCAGGAAACTACAATGTGGAATATACCCAAAGTGTGACGTTAAGAGAAAACATCCCTGAAAGAAATTTTTAATATTTTATTTCAAAGTCATGCCACAAGTTGACATAAAATACAAAATAGAGAAAATAAATAATTCAAGAGTAAATATAAAATAACCACAGTGTAACCCAGGAGAGACTGGAAATAAGACACAAAAATAAATAAATAAGTAAATAAAACAAAAACAAACAAACAAACAAAAAAAACACAAACATACGTAAGATACAGCTTTCTGAACTCATACAATCAGTAAACGTACAATATTCTGTTTTGTTGAACACAAGATCCAATGAATAGATTACAAAAGATTAAACAAAGGTGTATAAAATGTTGATAAAAGATACCTGTTATAAAGTTCTCAGTATCTGCTACCATATATAGAATGTCATCATGCAAGAGAGTATTTTATGTGTGTCAGTTTCAAGTTCAACATCAGCAGAAAAATACAAGAGTATCACAAGCTCATTATGTCTGATCCATATCAAAAAAGGAAAAAAAAATAAAAGAAAACGACAGAGCAAGAAGTAGAAGTCACACTCTCTACAAGCATTCACTGACTCTTTAAGGCTGTGCTGCATCGTGATGCCTAGAGAATCAAACATGGCACATCACCGTTCATGATGGGTTATGTCAGGTTAGAGCACACAGTAGTTTTCCAGTTTTGAACAGTACATGCAGCAGTGCAGGCCGGCCAGACAGAGATAGAGAGCAGATAGAGCGCTGTCATTCATCAGAAGCTGACAGAAACACTCAGAAACGGCATTCTGGCATCTTAGAATCATGTTGGTGGAACCGTGATGAATGCTTAAAAAGGATCTTCTTTTGTTTTGCACTTACAAACTGCTGAAAAGTTTCAAAATACGCAATAATATAGGTTGGCATACACAATAATACATGATAACTTGGATAGAAAATGAAAAATAAAGGTTCTAAAAAGGGTTTCTTGGAGTGTCACTTTAGAAGAACCACTTTGGGTTACCTAACCTTTTCATGGTTGGTTCTTTAAGAAAATCACAAGTTCTACACCAATTAAAGGTTTTTCCTAAAGTCAGGAACCATTTAGCAACCTTTATTTTTAATAGTGAAGGAAAATACTACAACATTATCAACATCCATGAAACTGGATGTCATTGCAGGCCATTCCAAATATATCTGTTACTGCCACTTTCATACACTCAAGCTGGGCAAACAGCATACAAATGACCAGATTACTGTCTACCATAAATAATACATGCAACATAAGCTTTACACTTGCATATGGAAGCAGCAGCAACATCTATATTTTCACAACACATGACACGTACTGCTGTGGTGCATCTGCAGTTCAGTCCAAGAGCTTCATGACACAAATCTTATCGTTCGGATCTTAATGAATGTTTTGCACTGGAGAACAGTCTGGTTTATTTTGGTAGAGTAGGCTTGTTCTGGAACATGGGCATGCACAGAGCTGAATCAAACATCTCCCAGTGTGTCAGCTGAGTGTAAATACGCATCCCTCAATGTGTGCAGTAACTGGAATGCTTCTGGCATGGCTGGACACTGGGGCGAAAACAGTCAGATTGTTTGCTTTGCGCACTAAAGTGTTTGGCAAGATAGACACAAAATACAGCTAAAAACATATTCAAGGCTCAATCCAAAATGGCACATTACAACGTTTATAATGTTTAAACTGAAAGAGTAAAACCCAAACTGGAAGTGCGAGGAAGATGAGAAAGCAGAAAAACAGTAAAAACAAGGATGCTTCACTACAAAAAACACAGCTTTCCACTGAAACCATAGAGACGCCTTGGGATTAATGCAAAACTGCACCTATGCAATGTTTCCAGGGCTCAAACCAATATAAAATTTTTGTTAACATTAAAAAACTAATTGACAATATCGGACAATATTAGAATATGCTATGTTTATAATATAATGTCTAGTATAAAATAGTATAATATATAATATAACATAATTTACAATATATAGTATAATTTATACATAATTTAAAAGTTAACTTCAATAGTTTTTGTTCAACAGTACTTCACAGAGAGATATAGTTGCCTAATCCCTATTATCAAATTTCTAAATACAAACAAATAGCAGAAAGTGGCCCACATTGATCAAGCATCTCACAGTAAGAGCACTGATCTAAGATCAGGTCATGGAATTTTATTCAGTGTCAGATAAAAAGCATAAGCTGATCCAGTTACTTTTTTACTATTGTTTTTAGTGTATTTCTACTTATTCAGCGTATTTAATATATATATATATATATATATATATATATATATAATATATATATATATATATATATATATTTTCAAGATTATATTTGGTTAATGGAGGAACAGCAAAGTAACAATTTCATTGTACAGTGTAACTGCCTGTTTCTGCTGTGCATATGACAATAAAACTCTTGAATCTTGAAGACGTTTGATAAATGTGGGCCAGCGTCCTGCTGGATGCAGAGCTTGATTTCTGGTTTGCATTTAGTAGCTCTTGTTTTTTTATCAACACTTTTAACAAAGAAGAGTTTGTAACATGTTGCCCTCATGATCATACTAAAGGGTAGGTTTGCTTGCACTTTACATGTTGCTATTATTTTAACTGTGATGGTATTTTGTGTTCACCAGTTCAGTCTGGTTGGAATAACGACCCAGGACTGGTGATTGTTAGCATTTTCTGTAAACCGGCAGGGAGCACAGACTTTGTTCACACAGCAGGTAAAGGTGGCCCAAATCCGATCTTTTTCTTCATATGTGACACAGATGTGTGTCAGTGTGAACAGCAATAAACGCATTGAATCTAACATTTTTAATTCCGATTTGAGATGCTTTCATATGTGGTACTGAAATCCGATACGTATTCGATCTGCAGCAATGCAGCTGAGTCTGAACAGCTGAATTCATGCAACTTTTACGTCAATCCATTCGACATCTGTCATAATTTCGCGCTGCTGAGACCCCATAAACATTTGGGGTGATATTTCTGTACAAAAACATTAGAAAAGACCCACCAAAACCCACCGTGTTCAAAGAGATTCGGACAGAAATGCCTGAACATGGTTGTAGGAGACTAAGGCTGCAGAGTCAAAGAAGAGTTAAAAGTCTGAAAGCAAAGTTTAAAGAATCCGAGGACATGAACCAGAGAAGTGACCGAGCCCTTTTTACAGTGAGCTTGAACACATTTGGGGTGATAAGTCCAGCTGTCAGCCATCAGAGCTTCATGATGGCTTCTGTGATGAAACTGAAAGCTCTGGGAGCGACTGGTGTTCTTTGGCAATCATGATTGTTTACCTCCAAATGAGCGCGCCACATGAAGCAACGTGAAGCATTGTTCTTTTGCGCATGCGGATCAGTTTAGGAGCGCAAACTTTTGAGATTAATGTTGCATACAGGTCACATTTAAAAGATATTGTGAACAGCCAAACTAAAAAATCAGATTTGGTGAGAAAATCAGAATTGGGCCACTTTTACCTGCTGTGTGAACGTAGCCTTAATGCTCAAAAATGTTTCTACTTACATTAGAGCTGTCTGTTTATTGTTATATCAACTTTTTGTGAAAACTGGAATTGTTGTTGATATCAAATAAATCTGTGAACATTTAATAATGACGATTTTAATATCAGAGTGTATCGGTCAGTGTATCAGTTTTTCTGTGGAATCGTTAAGCTGCAATAGAAGGGCAACTGTTAACCATTTGCACTGTTAACAAATTCCACTGATTTGACTAATTTGATTATTAGACCCCATTCAGAGTTTCTCTCATGTCTATAATCAGAGAGATTCACTTTATTAACATGTAACTTAAATCACTAAGAACTTGCCCTGGTCAGCGGAGCAGATTATATGGAGCGATTGAGAGAGAGAGATACTGAAACACTGCTGGGTTGGCTTAAGCTTTTCGATTTAGGTTGTATAAATAAAAAAGTAGACAGAGGGAAAACTCTTTCCTGAATGAAGTCACATTGTCTCTGGCTCTCTGGCTTCGCTTTGCCCCATTATGCCCAAGGCTAATCTGCTTGGCATGAACATCTCTCCTGCTCTTGACATCCAACACTTGTAATCTGCTTGGCACTGCATGCTTAACCTAGTAATCTAAACCCTCCTCTTTCTCACAGCACACAAGCCTTCAGACTAAGGGAGAAGGTCACAGTGTGCTCATTCAGGTAAATCATAATGTCCTTATTCATAACAATGCAGACTCGACCTTAGTACACACTCTTTCATCACCTGATAGCGCAGACTGTAAACACAGCGACTATAACACTTATAATTTTGTAATTCTCTTTTAGTAACTTATAATTCTTTGTTTTACGTAAACAAAAAGTAAAAAAAAACTTAAGACAACATGAAACATGTTAAACATTTGACAATAAATGCCCTCTTTTAAGCAAATAAAAAACAAAAAGTGCCTGAAATTAATCAAATATGATCTGAGAAAATGAGCAGTCAGCTGTTTTGCGCTATAGCTGACATATGAAACATCCTGCAAAGAACCGTATTGTCACTGTCCAAAAAAAAAAAAGCTATGTCCAAATTTCATGATGAATGGACCAATAGAAATGCTCCAGAATGATATGGAACAAATTCTTGTTACATTAAATTATGTTAAATATTAAAGAGTGTTTTGCCCCTGTAAAGTTATCCTTTTCCAAATACATGTTTGTTTGTTTTTTTTTGGACAGTGATGATATTCATCGTAACACAACAGAAGAGACTGAATCCAACCAAACTACATTAAAACACTGGGTCCATAGCAACTGAACTCTTTGCAACACCTTAACTGGTAATGGGGGTATATAAACAGGCTTGTAGCGGTTCTTGGTGAAACAGCACACTAGCCATAGGAAAAGACACAAAACTGGTGATGATGTCCACCAAAGTGCCTGTAAGTATGTTGTTCAAGTGAGAAAATCTCCAAACATTCCAGTGCAGCGTCCCCTAGTGGAGTGGAAGAACAGTTCTAACAGGATACACATCATGGCACATGCTGTTTGGCAGGAGCTGAAGAAACCTCAGCAATAACACACACACACACACACACCTTGTCACTGTCCCATGATCCTTAGGGTTAAAGTCAAAGGGGGGATGTTTCAAAAATTCAGCATAGTTCTATTACTGAGATGTAAACAAACTTATTCAGACTGGATTGGTGTGAAATGGTACATATTAGACAGATTTACTGACTATAGTAGTGGTGATAGGAACCATCACAATGACTACAGTGCAATAAAGCAATTTGTTTACTATTCAAAACCACCAGAGATCTTACATGTCTTCTGAGCTTTTACGGACCAGTCAGAGTTCAGAACACGTTTCAGATTATTAACTGACTTGGACTAAACTAGACTAAATTAGACTAAACTCTTTTTGCTTTGAGTAACCCTATATACCCTATGTTTACTATATTAAAACATATGATTGAATATTCCATTTTGCCATTTTGCCAAAACAATCATACTGAAACTTCTCCAAATGTTTCGGTAGTGACTGTTTTAGTTAATTTTAAGCATCACTCAAAAGCGCTAGTCGGTACATGACTAGCAAACACAGCTTTGAACAGTTGAACACGCATAAAATCATAATATTTTTCATTATAACACAAAAAAGTTACCTTAACTGCAGAAAATATGTGTGTCGATAGAGACAAATCTTAAGGTTACACACTGATTTCCAGACTTTAGGGCACATTTACTACAATACAATGTGATCTAATTGCTCACCATGTGGCCATGAGGGACAGGGATGCAGGCTGACTTCCTGTTCTAAAATGCAGGGGTTTGGCTAAAATAAGGCTCCGCCTATGGACTAATATTTCTTGTGTTTCAGTAGTGATATGAAAATGTGGGACTGCATTTTCTGAATAAAGTTTTTGTATTAAAAAAAAGTGATAAATCTAAATCCAATGTTACTTTAAAAGAACATCACTGACATAAAAAGTAGATATAAAAAGTAAGTATTATTTTCACTAGTTGAAATTTAGGGGTTAGGGTTAAGGGATTAACAGCCCTAATCCCTAAAAATAAATGATGATTTTGTATTTAGTTATCTTATTACTACTATGGCCCTGATATGATATAATGGTAAAACAGTCATAAAATGGAGGGAAAAAAAGTTTTCTTGGGTTCTATTTTGCCTTAGAATGCGCAGCGCGGACCTCTCTTGGATTTAAAAAAATATATATTTCGGGTTAAAACTCAACTCAAAACTACAGAAAAAAAACAATGTCCCAGGCATCAGAAGGTGTATTAGTGACCATTTGATGTAAAAACTTTGTGAGGTACTGTCTAAAAAGAATTAAACTCTCCGGACATCTGGTTCCTCTCACCACCATTGTGATTTGATTAGTCGGTAAGTTCTTCTAGCATGAAACATTTCACATCAAAACCCCTCTGAATGACTTCATTTACATCTTAACCATTAAATTATGCAGAAATTTTGAAACGTCGGTGGAATTCCCCTTTACGCGTACATGCAAAGTGCACATCTGTGTCCCAAGGACCGCTCTCTGCTTTCAAGCACTGCTGGCATTGATGGAGTCCACCCTCTATCTACACATGCACGACCTTTTAAGAGTCCTTTAAGTATGTCTGAGGGCGTCGTTCAGCACAGGCGGACACAAACACACACAAACCAAACAGGCATTTCTGTTAAAACTGCCGTCACTGTCCTCAGGCAGTGGCGTTACCATGGAGATGACATGGCAGAGAGGCTGGGTGGGCCTTTGGTCCCCGGAGGCGGCTGGTTGTGGCTGAACTCCTCTCCGTGCTCCAGCAGCCTCTGCTTTTCACCCCTTGTTGCTAAGCTACTTTAAGCATGCTGCTGCGCATCCAAAGAGCATCCAGTGAAAGTGACGTTTAAGAGCCCACACGACTGTCAGGAACTCTCAAACAAAGAGTCTTCTGTGAACATTAGTGTTGAGGGTGTCAGTTTTTTGTTTTTGGTTCTTTATTGGTAATAACAACACTCAGAAGATGTCCAGATCTTGAACTAGCCAAGGCCACTGACCAAGACCAACCAGATCTTGTCCTGGTTGAGGCCATCGGCCAAGCCTGACCAGACCTTGCACTAGCAAAGGCCACTGGCTAAAACTGATAAGATCTTGCACTAGCCAAGGCCACTGGTCAAGACTGACAAGTTTTTGTCCTAGTTGAGGCCACTAGCCAAGGCGACTGATGAGATCTTGCACTAGCCAAGGCCACAGGCTAAAACTGACCAGATCTTGCCCTGGTTGAGGCCACTAGTCAAGGTAAATAATCACATCTTGCACAAGCCAAGGCCACAGGCTAAAACTGACCAGATCTTGCCCTGGCTGAGGTCTCTGTAAATAGCCTCTTCTTCAAGTTCTTCATCCTGGAGGAGATGATGAAGGTTGATCATCATCTTGAATGTTCTTCACCATGATCCTAAACAGGTGGAGGATGCCTGACTGTAAGGAACGAGGGAAGGAGAGATGGAGAGAAAGGACTTCTGCTGAGGTCATTTGGCAATGGAAACCTGCGGCTAATCAACTAAGGAAGACTCCACGAGGTTCTAATACCGAGACTAACTCAGCTGCTCATGCAAGACTAATGCATAGCCCTTATGCATACTATCAAAGCATGAAAGAATGTGAGCACTGTGAAATAATACAGGCAGGCAGGAAAATGAGGGACCGTTAATGAATTCACTGTGGACAGCTAACGAGGGACAGTGACAGAGAAAGAGGGAAGAAAGGGGAAAGGGCAGGGGTAGGGTTGCAGTCATTAAGTGGTCAGATATTGGTTAAAGTGGTGCAGGTGATCAATCGCACTGTCAGCGTGCCTGGGAGGTCGTTATCTTGGCGGCTGCCCTTGTCTCTCAGATGGACTGTGTGCTGCTCCTGCCGGTCATTAGGGTCACTGAAGAGGGTCACCTGACCCAGGAAGGTGTCAACAATCACATTCTTATTGTAGATCTACCATCATCATGGGCCAATCAGGAAAAAAGGTGATGAAAAGAGAGAAATAGAGACAGAAATCAGCACTGCAAGCCAATGGAAAGAGATTTTAAGGGCCGCAGATAACGAAGCGGAAGAGAAAGGGCTAAAAATAGAGGTGTGAGAATGCACTGATCTGAACTTTCAACTGCATCAATTTTGAAATGTTACAATTGTGACATTACAATTTTAATGTTAGACATCTTACCACAGTAGCCCAGCAACACCCTTGCTCTGCCAGAATACAATACATGCGAATCATAATCATCTGTCCAATGTTGATAAATGTTTTTAAACAATTATCTGTCTCTTAACACTGTGCAGCCCTAAAAATAACTGAATCATGCTAAAATTTGAGATTTCATGATGTATTAAACCAAACCAAATTGCTGGGAGGTCAGGGATTTACACTCTTCCTAAAGAGGCTTTACACTTACCTCAATGTGAATGCCCTCTTTTGGCTTTTTGCGATAGAACACCCCTTTGACATCAAAGTTGGGGCAGCGTGTGTCCTTGTGCACAGGAGAGCGAACCTTCTCCCCTTCACAGGTGATGATCACATATGGATCTGAGGCTGGAAAAAGACATCTGACTGTAATTCCTCAAACATGTGCCATTCTGCAATGTGCACTGCTACATCTGACTACCTTAAATAACACCAGAGCTATGCACCACATACAGAGATTCAGGAAAAACTGCATGGCAAATGGGATACAGACAAAATACTTTCTATTTATAACCAAAACTAGCATCAGAAGCTACAGCTAGGAACATCAGGCTGTGTGGAAATCCACTTAAAGTAAAGGACAAATACAAGGGTGTCATTCTGTCTCCTTACAGATAGTCCACTCAGATAGACCAAAACAATTTATGGAGATGGCCTTCTAATAGTGTAAAAAGTCATACTGCGCAAAGGTAAATGAAAATTTGCCTTGATTCTGAAATATAAATGCTTCACGTCTATTAGAAACTGTAGTTTGTTTAACAAACTGCAGGGAAGCAGAATAAGTCAGCCACTGTGTGGAGAAAAAGCCACATTAGAGTTTTCAGACTGATTAATAGCAATGCTGCCCTGGGTCTCCATGTCTGTGTGTTTCTCTAGGGGAGAGGGAATTTATGCTAACTGCCACTAAGATGCAGTACCTTTGCTGTTGATATCACACCACTTCTTGTGAGGAAGCAGGCAGTGCAGCTCTGTGTGGAACCAAAAGAGTTCCGTGTGTGTTTAAGCTGAGGAGAGCTATTTAAATGGCCTTGGCATCTAACATAAAGCAGCACGGATATGGCACCAATGAACAGACCAGATAAGGAAGGGAAACACATGGAAAAAGCTGAAGGAATACACCATAAACTAAATAATGACAAACGTAAGTTAATATTGGCCAATATCAAAGTTCCACTCATTTATTGGTTTTGGTGATTTGTAAAAATACCCCTGCTAAAGCACTGATATGTATAAGCATCTTGGTTAATGCTCTAATGAACAAATAATAATAAAACATGTCAAAGTATCATAACCTTTAGCACAAGGATAATATTTATAACCTTAAACCTTTGTGTGAAGATACAATTTTTTAATGAACATCAACTAAAAAAATGCTGATCAACAAAATGCTGAGAATTCTGGGAAGCTCTGCCCCAATCTTTAACTACAAACCTCAATTCCAAAAAGGTTAGGACAGCATACCAAATGCTAATTAGACATAAATTAAGAAATACTGTTTGACTTATTTTCAATTGAAAACATTAAAGGAACAGAATATTTATATATCACGCTTATGAACTTTATTATCATCATCATCTAACCCGCTTATCTTCCTGGGTCACCAGGGCGGGTGCTGGAGCCTATCCCAGCACTATTTGGACAGAAGGCTGGAGACCCCCTAGAAAGGTCACCAGTCCTTCATAGGACAGACACACAGACATACACATTCACACTCACACCCAGGGGCAATTTGGTATTACCAGTTCGCCTGATTGCATGTCTTTGGTCTGTGGGAGGAAACCAGAGTACCTAGAGGAAACCCACGCAGACAGGGGAGAACATGCAAACTCCACACAGAAAGGACCCTGGTCGCCTGGCCAGGGAATCAAACCCAGAGCCTACTTTGCTGTGCTTGTTACACTACCCACTCTCACCATGCAGCCTAAACTTTATGATTTTTTTTGTAAAAACAAGGTCATTCCAAATTTGTTGCTGGCAACACATTTTATCAACACTTGATAAGCATGTAGGGACTAAAGACACCAATTGATCCAGTTTTGAAAGTGGATTTTTTTCCATTTTTTCTATGTCATATTCTTCTGTCATATTTTGAGCTTCATAATGCATCACATGTTTTTAATAGGAGATAGGTCTGGTCATGGCAGCCAAGCTTCCATAAGAGCAGAATGTGGTTTGCCGTTGTCATGCTGAAATAAGCAGGGACATCCTGAAAAAGACATCGTCTAGAAGGCGGCGTTTGTTTTTTCCAAAATGTGTTTATCTTTTAGTGTTAACGGTGCTTTCACAGATGTGCAAGTTGCCTATGCCATGGTCACCAATACACCCCATATCATGACGGCCTCCGGCTTTTGAAATTCACACTGGTGAGAATCTGGGCTGGGTTTTCCAAAAGCATCTTAGCACAAGATGATTCTTAAATGGTAGAGGGAGCATCACAGTGAGCAGAGTGAGAGATCTCCAGTTAAGATGATCTGGAATAACTATCCTTATCCTTATCATCTGGGAAACTGGGCCCTGGATGCTAATTTTTTTTCTTTGGCTGAGAGAACACAACATCCATTATTTCCATAACCATTATGATTCATTAGACCACATACATGTTTCCATTGTGCATCGGCCCATTTAAGACGAGCTCCAGCCCAGAAAAGTCCCTGGCGTTTGCTGACATATGGCTTCTGCTCTGTTTTATATTATCCATCACAGAATCATGCCAGTTTTTAATGCAGTGCCATATGAGGGATCAAAGGTGACAGGCATTTAGTTGTAGTTTTCAGCCTTGCTCTTTTTTCGCACAGAGATTTCTCCAGATTCACTGTATCTTCTGATGATATTATGCACCACAGAGGGTGAAATACCTAAAATCCTTGCAATTGCTCACTGAAAAATGTTGTAATTAAACAGGGCTGGGATATAATGGAATACAAGTATTGGGACTACATATTCAGAATACAGAAATTAAGTATCTGTATTCAGAAGTTACATTTTGTAAAGGTAGTATTTAGAATACAGTTCAGTTACTAGTTACATTTTTAGAATACTTTTAGAATACTTTTTAGAAAACACATGCCATCTTTCAAAGAAACACCATTATCACTTCTTAATTATTTCTTTTAAAGTCAGCACACAACATCTAAAGACTTACTTTAAAGAAGAACTCAAAATGGCTTCTTCACAAACATTAAAGTTCCTCCTACAGCCTCAATAGACTGAAACATCACTGTGATGAACCAGTAATCAATCTAAGTGTCAGTAAACTTTTCTAAAGGATGCCTGAACTGCACAGTCTCCTCAGCAGTGCACATGTTCACTAGTGATAAGCTTAGCTTTGGTATCGTGCTGGACTTGTTCATGTGTTCCATGGCAAATTCCATACATGCCATTAACTGAAAATCACATAGCTACTCACGTCATAGTCAAATTTGTGAGATTTTGTTATTAGGATATGGTGAATTGTTGGCTTAGGTCATGAAAGGGCAGGGTTATTATGGGAGCAGCAGAGGAGTGAAGCAAGCGATAAAAGCCAAAATAACATTGAGAATTTTGTATCCACTCTGGTATTCATTTGAATAATTGAATTTTTCGGGAATTACATGAAAAAAACTGCCAACTGTAACAGAAAGGAACAGTGTTAATTAAATAAAAATTACAGCAGAGTTTTTTTCATGTACTTTATCAATGTATTTTAAACCACATGTGTCAGGCTCCAGTCCTTGCAGGCCAAAACACTGCAGACTTCAGCAAAGTGCTTCATTAAACCCACCTGATTCAGCTCTTCAGCTAATTAGGCCTTCAGGAACTGAATTCAGAGTGTGAGATGAGGGTAAACGTTAAAATCCACAGCACTTTGGCCCAGAAGATCCCCAGTTTGATATGCCTGTTCTAAATGTATTTTGAAAGTATTCTGAATATGTTACTTTTTTATGTATTGTAACGAATACATTACTGAATACATTTTTCAACGTATTTGCCCAACTCTGTTCTTAAACTTTTGGATTATGTGCTGATGCATTTTTTGCAAAGCAGTGAGTCTCAACCCATCCTTGACCCTCAACCCACCATGATGATGGTAGACTAGGCCTTTCCTGGAAGCTCCTTTTATACACGAGCATGATTGCATCACCTGTTTCAGATGTTTTGAACATTTCATAGTGTTCATAGTCTTAAACTGCCCTGTCTCAACTTTTTTGGAATATTCCAAAGTCATCAATTTCAGAACAAGTGTACATTTACAAAAAATAATGATGTTGATCTGGCATGAATAAAAATAAAATATTTTGTTTAAATCCAGGTCCAACTGGATGTACAAATAATTGCTTTCTGTTTGTATTTGCATTTCACATACTGTTCCAGCTTTTTTGGAACTGAGGTTTGCAAAACTATCAGAGACTTAAATTTTTGACTGTCAAAATCAGTGTGTAACAAGCAGGAGATATAGAGACCTATAAAATGACATGCAGTCTTGAAAAATTTACCTCCATTAGAGTCTTGGCCCTGCAGGCCCTCGGCACTCAGCACATGCACCTGGGTGACCAACTGAGGATATCCACACATGCCCGTCCAGCACGTCTGAGGAGGCTCGTCCAGGGTCAATTCTCTAACATGGCACAGTGGGTACGGCAGGATATCAGAACTTTCTGGCTAATGACACTAATGACACTTATGGCACTTATCAATGTAGAAGCTACTACAGAGAGATTTAGAGGTGGGTCTTCTAGAGGGATATTAGGGGGGTTATCTGTCCTGGTCAGGACAGGAACCAACACAAAACCACTAAGAGAGCGCAAAATAATGAAGGAACCATTAGTGGTTTGGTTTACTTGCAGTCTGAAGGCACATCAGTGAAAACTCGGAGCAGGAATTCTCCCTGCTGGCCAGGGTCAAAGGTTGTAGGGATGATGACATAACGGCCCTCTTTCAGCTCTTTTCTTAGGAAGACGCAGCGAGAGTTGATGTAGATGGAGCCAGCAACCTTTTGCTGGGCCGAGTGCATGCGGAACTTTCTGTTCAGCTCCACCTAGTGGGAGGGAGGGTATAACCTCATTTATTGTCCACAAAAAACACATCAAGCATAGGTAAAATACTTATCAAGGCTTAATGTTTCTATGTACAAATTATATTGCCTTCCACTATCCAATTTACATGATATTTTTAAGCTTCAAATTGATGAGTAACATTACATTTGGCATGAATGTACACTGTATCAGTGTTTGCTGTGTGTTCATACGTGTAACGGGTGTACAATGTACTTTGACTGACTATTTATTAGGTACACGATCTTGTACCTACACTCATTACATTTACATTATATACTTTATCCCTTTTCCACATCTGTCAATGGAAAAGGCCCACCACAGGACTACCCCATGGCAATTATTTGGGAGGTGGACCATTTTCAAATATCAACAAAAAGTGGACAATGCATGTAGGTAGAGCGTATGTGCACCAAATGAACTGTTTGCAGTACCCGATGGATGTCGAAGCCAATAGCCAGGTTCTCTCCTTTGCCTTCTTTGGGTGTGGCTCTTTTCTCTTTCTGCTGCAGGCAGATCAAGACCTCATCCTCCACCTTCCTCACATCAAACACGTACTACAAAGAGGAACACACTTTTAATAAACTCCTCATGCTCTCAATAAAATGGGAATTCCACTGATTTTTCCAAATGTATACAAAATTAAATGGCTGTAAACAGACGGTGTAAAGATGAAGTCATTCAGAGTGGTTTGATGTAAAATTGATCTGTTCTAGAAAAAAGGCAAAATTGTTCACAGTTGTGATAGGAACCAGACGTCTGAAGAGTTTAATGCCTCTAAAAGCCACATCACAGAACGTTATTACAGGAAATGGTTAGGAATATGCTGCCTAATGCCTGAGACATTGATTTACAACAGTTCTGAGATAAGCTTCTAGTCTGAAACATGCATTTTTTAAAAATCCATTCATGGTGTGGAGGTACACGCAGGGCATTCTAAGGTAAAACAATCCCTAAAGAAAACATATTTTTGCAGATTTAACATTGTACCATTAACAACATTACTTATAAGACTCAGAAGACACGTGTAGGTTTACCGGTGGTTTTGGGTAGTGAATTAAAAAAATATTTGATGTGAAATGGCTCATTGTAGAGAAATGTATTGACTCTGGTGGTGAGAGGAACCAACGGGCACAATATAGCCACATTGTGACCATTGTTTCCTATCACCACCAGAGCCAATACTTTTGGCACTTTTTATATCCAAACCACTGAATTATGTAGAAAATTTGAAAAATTCGTGGTATGTATAACACACACATGTACACTGACCTGAGGGTTCTGCAGGAAAGTGGCTTTGTGATTGATGCAACCTCCAGAGCGATTGCGCAGTGGGTCATCCCGGTACACCCAGGAGCCCCTCATCACCTCCTCCTCCCACGTCTTATGGATGCTCAGGTAGGACGTGTTGATCAGTCGACACAGAATCAGGTCAGTGAAGTAGTGACAGAAATCCTCAAAGTTCATCCTGAGGGCACAGACAGAATCAGCTGAGAATGGAGGTGTTAGACTAGAAAAGTAAAGTGATAGTTTTAATTTCTTCAAATTTCTTCCTACTCCAAATGTAGTCAGTCAGCAAAGACATGCTTGGTGGCATAAGTTCGCTTCTTTAGTTTTACACTGGAGCAACAAGGTTAATATAGTAATAATAAGCTTATACATCAACATTTACCATTGTGCAAACTCCATATGCCTTAAATGTCACACACTTGCCACAAATCAAGTCAAGATTTTAAGTAAATAGATCTGTTTATGTAGTTTCCTACACTGTGTGAGATACTTTTATGTAAAAATGGACAAACCTACATTGCATCGCTAACAACAGTAATAGAAGCCTGAATTTTGCATATTTGCCTATTTTATAAGTAACAGTATGTCACACAGTAACTACTTGACAACTTAGCATGGTTTGAGGCCTAATGTATTGTTTCGTGCCAGTTTCAGGCACAATCGTACAAACTGCCGCATGAGCCTAGACGTGCAGTTTATGGGCCGCAAGCCTGGTGAAACGCAAAATGCACTTCTGTTTCTCATATACATTTCAGAGAGGGAAACGTAGGAGATATTAAATGTGCAGCTGAATACATATTCTGCTCGACTTACAAAAGTTTAAGCAACCTGCAGCGTTTGGTTTTGCATCGATTTTCCTCCACCTTTTAAAATCTTGTGTAAATTTGCATTTGGATCTCAAAAAAGTGACTTCCTTTAATAGTGGCAGTAGATACAGCAGTTAGATGAAGGCATACACTTCAAACATGTGCTGAAAGAACGTTTACTATCAGAATAACGTTGTTTAACCTCTCAGGACCACATATACGTATGAGAAGACATGGCACAAAATGTGCCATTATGCAGCCACAGTATGTCTGTGTTACCATTTCACAAACTATTTTCTTAGCTGGAGTAAAATAACACCCCATAGAATGTTTTGGTGGGAAAGAGCTTAAGTTATTAACACTGTACCTCTTCATCACTGAACTTTTTTGTTATGTCTCAAGCTTGTTAACCACTGTATTTTTCCACTGTGCCTTTTAAACCCTGCACCTCACAGGTGAGCAGTTAGTGGGTGGGGCTATGTGCAGTCTGAATGACAAGCTGCAGTGAGGCGCATTGTGGTCACATCAGGCACATTCTGCACTGCACAAGTGCTCATACATACATCCGGCCAAGCAGGTGATAATTTAAGCAAGTGGTTTGCATGATATTAATTGGTATACACAAGCTTCCATTATGTTTTAGCTACACTAGATCTTGTAGCTACAGTGCAAATCTAAAGAAGCAAACTTCAGACATGAAACACTGACTACAGCTGGGGTAAGAAAATTCATTTTTAACAAAACCATTAGTTTGGGTGTTGACCAAACATGTTTTCAGCAATGGCCAAACTTTGATTTGAGGTTGGATAAAAAAAAAAATCTCCTTTCCATCCTTTTTTGAATAAAATCATCATGATTTCCTTTTACAAAAGTCAAAAATCGAATGTCTATTAAATTAAATTTAGCTTATACTTCTTTTATATAATGGGCATTTCAATCACAATATAAGCCTTTAGATATCTGAAAAACTTTTTTTTCTGTTCTAAAAAAGTAAAAAAGTGATTATAGCAAGACCCTCAAACCCAATGTTGTTTAAACCCACCATCCCACTTGATTTTTTTATTTTTTCTTTCAATTTGACCACAGGCAACGGCACATCAGGGCACACAATGCTGTTGAATTTATACGTTAGCAAATTAGCCAGTTCAATTTAAGGCAAATAATAACTCAACAAAATACAAAATAACTCAACTCTGTGTAACCTCTGCTCTGAAGTGCTGCCTTGACTGGAAGTTAGATTGGCAACTGATAAAATCAGTTTCAGTGTAACCGTCAGAGTGCAGTTTGGGAAGACAAGATGGAGGCACTTAGTACAAGCCTCATGGGACTGTCCTTGAATGTAAGACAGGAGCAGATTTAGCACACATGAAAATACGTAAAAAGCCCTCACCAGAACTCTCCATCGTCCTGAACGGTGACGCCCAGCTTCTCTCTCTCACTCTTGCTCACCTTCTTCCACTCCTCTGAACTGCAACACACACCAGAGTCATCATTTACGTGGTGCTCATCACTCGATACATACTCACACACAGCTTCTCAGACATTTCTGGAGCACAGTAATCTTCACTACAGCACTTCTCATCAAACCCTTAATTAATATTTCATTGGGCAGAAATATGAAGAAAGATTGCCTTTGCCTCAATAAGATCCGTCTGGCTGGTGGGTAAATAATTCAGGGCCCAATATAACCGGTAGCTGTGCTGTTGCAGAGCTTAAACAGAGGATGAACACAGTAGAGGAAAAAAAGGACAAGATTTCCCGCCTTCAATTATCATTGCATTTCAATTTCACACCTTGCTGTTGTGGAGGAAATTTAGGTTGACTGTCATAAAACAAGAAGGCAGTTATTTAAAAGGGCCGATATGGATGTGAAGACAGCCCCGAACCCTCATCTTTTACACCCCACCGACTCCCAATTTTATACCCACCTGCCTGGCTTGATATCTCAATTTCACGGCAGCGAGTGATAAGAATAGACACTTCAGCTGTGTGTTATTTAGACTGAAAGGGTCTCAGGGGAGGACAGAGGGATGTCGCTCTAGTCTCTGTGCTATTACGCTGCTGTAAAAGGCAATATAGCAATATCTCTGTGTTTGTGATAAGAATAAGAATGGAATTAATGACACAGCACAATTGTAAAGAACTGTCACAAATGTTTGATTTAACTTATTAACCTCTACAGAGCCTTGAGTCATGCTTGCTGATTTCCACTACAATCTTAGAAAAGGTGCCAAAAAGGGGACGATTAGACTGTAAATTTCCAAGTACAACTTTTGGTTCCCTTAACAACCCAAAGAATAGTTCTTTAAAGGGACACTCCAGCCTAAAACTATCATTTAATATAGTATTTGTTTTTCTTGTAATATTCTGTTGTGCAGCACTGCATCCTTCAGCCTCATTGGTTTCACAGAATTCACAACTTTGTACCCGTTTCTGTGTTTTCAAACATCAGTGTTCTCTTATTACAATACTCAACATGCATTATATGCCAATATGTTATACAACAACTTGGAATCCCCCCACAGCAAGAAAGCTAGCATAACCACTGATGTAGAAGCTAACAAATACAGCTGAGATATCTGGCTTCTTAGCAGTACTGATAAAAAAAAATTCAAACATCCACCTCAAATCGCTTGTAGTTCTTCCCACCTTCAAAATATGTCATCAGAACTGGGGTTTCTTAGTCCTTATACTAGACAATCTCGCTCTAGAAACTGTAGGAGGCAAATAGTCATATTTACAACAGATGCAGCAATGATTACAGTTTTCATTCTGGCTGAAATGCCCTTTTAATGAACAATTTCTGTAAATAAAATGTGAGGAAGGAAGTATACATGATGTAAAGGTTCTATACTAATTATATGTTTTTTTCCTAGAACCTTTGTTTTGAAGAATGTATCTAGCGCAGGTCGCTCACCTGTCACTCCAGGGCCCACTCCACTCCTTCTCCCCCCAGGGGTTCCTCATGCGGATCATGTGCAGCTTCTCAGACTTGAAGAAGGCCAGCAGTCCGTGGCCCAGGCGCACCTTCCGCACATCCGTCACTGCGTAGGCATGGCCTTTTACCAGACCGCAGTCCAGCCGAGCCTCCATGTCCTCCACTGTGGTTGCCTGGGAAACAGCGGGTAAATTATTTAAACAAACAGTGATTGCTTGGGTGGGTTTTGGGTTAAACTGGGCACAAGAAAGCAAAAACAGACAGATAGTAGATTCTGGGTATCCACTACTACACTGCTGTAAGATGGGAAGTAGCAATTATCTGTGATAAGAATAAAGCTGGAACTAATGACGCAGCATAAATGTGATGAATTGTCACAAATTGTTGATTTAAACCAGGTCTAGTCATAGTCCAGATTAATTTACCCAATCAGTGAAGATAGCAAGCAGCATGAAGAACATGGCTGTTTAATTTGACGTGTGACTGACAGTGGGAACATCTATGCTATTAAGGGGAACATGCTGTGAGAAGTTAAAGTTGGAAACAGGTGACTTGTGTAAATCTTACAATAGCAAGTTGTACACTGCAGTGATCACACGGCTCAGTGTATCTCAGGAGAAAATGAAGCGTTCACAATAAGACGAGCCTTCTAAACCTCCTGTGACACCCGTCATTTGTCAACATAAATGTTCTCAGATTGGCTTTGTGTGTTTAGAGCAAAGGGAGGAGTAAGATAAAAAAAAGCAATTAGGCTGAGTCTGGAAGAGACATGGCTGAGGATGTTAAAGAGCTTTTTCTGCATTCCTAATACAGCATTCTTCAGATGAAATGCAAACTCTGTCTCCTAGACGAAAAAGCAATAAACCAACCCCAGCCCTGAAGTTGTGATAAGACTTGATTAGGCTAGCTCTGTTCTGTACTATAGATGAGTTTAATTCCTATACTTGTTCTGGTGTTCTGAGATTGTATCTATGTGTTCAGATGTGCAAATGGATTCCTGAAAACGTGATAATAGAAAATTGGGTTCACTGAGACCCCAAGGATTTATACGAATTGATATTTTTGTGTGGCCACAATGTTCTTGGTTGTCATTATGTTCACGATGTTTAAATGTGTATGAAAAAAGGTTTTTGTGGATAAGTATCAGAGCCAGTGCGGTCTGTGATTGCACTCATTTACGAGAAAATGAACTTCAAAAGAAGGAAGGCATAGAAAACAAATGAGCACAGGTTATTACTAGAAAGACTAGAAAGACAATGAGACCACAAAAGGATAGAAGAGTCATGTGGCATGCAATCATGGAACCACTCAAAAAGTGTAGCTTAAAAACTGCATGATAAATATAACTAAGCTCAAATGAATTGGTAGATAAGCAATAGAACATGATGGGGAATGAGTTATTGCCAGTCTCCTTTTATACAGGAGAGTAACGGTTTCAAAACAGCACTGAAAATTTTAATTTGAATTTTTCCAAATGTCTCTCTGCTTTCAAATTCTAGAGCAGGGATGGCAGACTGCGGTCTGTATGCGGAACCAGCAAAATATTTCAGCGGACCGAACCAAGCACTTGGTTTGGTCCACTGAAAAAATATGTAGCAAAGCCGAGTAGCATATGCTAAAAATGTTCATATTTCAGAAACATACGTGAACATGAACCAGCACGGCTTCTATAACTGTCCCATGTTGCAGTTAATCCAATCCGATGCATTTGTGTAAACAACTTTCACTAAAGGTAGCTCAACAGAACAAAAGAGACAAAAGAGCTAGATATCAGGTCAGAAAAGAAAAATCAACAGAGAACTGTACATTTTTCTCCTTGATTCAAGTTCATAACTGATGAGTCTATGGTGCTGGTCAAAAGTGAAAAACATTAAGTGCCACTGCAAAACAAATTGAATTAACCTACCCACAAAATCCACTTCCTACAAAACCCAAAGCTCAATATGAACGCTCCACAGAAGTTCTCATCCATTCTCTGGCAACAAGAATAGCCTTTATTAATTTAATTTAATTTAATTTAATTTAATGTAATTTAATGTAATTTAATTAATTTAATTTAATCTTATTTTTAATTTTTTAATTAATATTATTTTATGAAAAGACAATTTTTTTCTTCTGTGGAGAATTTTTTTTAAAGATATTTAAAAGTTTTTGAAAGGATTTTAGACCATTTTTTTCAAACAACAACCAATACAATTTAAAAATGCTTCTTAGATTATAAAAGTGCATTCAGACAGTTCAAATATATTTTATGTATCTCATTTTATTAGTTGCTTGGGCTAATCACTAATGGTTAAGCCTTTAAAGGTAAAAGTTTTCGCCATATACTCATGTTCGTTTGTTTATTCAGACCTTTATAAGGAAGACATTTCATGTAACTGGACCTAAGTTTTAGTTGAACAACTCTGTTCTAGGGTTTGTGTTTTTTTGGAGTGTTTGGAGAACTTTTGTTTTCTGAAGCGAACCAAACTATGAAGTATATAATCAGAGCTCTGTACATGAAATATAAATGAAATAAAACACTGATTCATATCTAGACTTCAGAAACACAAATCATATTAAACCTGAAAATATGTGCATTATTACACCCGTAGTGTAAAGTAAATCAGGTCAAATAAGTTTTTAACACTGTTAATATCTTTCTTGTAGTTATTTAGCAAATGATGTTCAGTGGAACGATACACATGAGGTGAAAAATCATGGCTGTTATCAGATATAACGACATAACTTTTGTATAATTCTTGATAAAATCTCAAAGTCCCCCACCCTGATGGAGCAGCTGATGAGGCCGTCTCTGTTGTGGACCTTCAGTACTCTCTCGAACAGCTGGTTTCTGGCCGTTTCATCCTGAGCAAACTGACCCTCTAGCAGGTCCACGGGTTCTGATACCCCGCCGGTAAAGTCCACTAAAGCATCAGCTGTGTTGCCACCATCCAGGGCTTCATAGCAACCATACACCCTGCAGAGGTGAAGAGAATGAGGTGCTGTACTAATCATTTCGATAAGCTTTCACAGCTTTCTTATCATCTTGTGTTTTTAATTCTATATCTCTGTATAATGACACAGCAATCAGCTTGTTTACATGAATGAATAAACAACAATACTCTTGTTTTTCTTTTTTTATTTGATTGCTATGCTTTCCGTGGATGTGTTTTCCCCTGAGGCCATCCTCGGTGTACTGACAGTTTTGAAGTTTTGAATCACAAAATGTATTTTTTTAACCTAAGTGCTTACTTGGCATAAGCCTTCTCCACCAGGGCACTCCAGAACTCATTGCTGTCATTTGAGTGGCAATACACTAGCTGGTTGTCTACTGTGGGCAAGCGGTCATCGATTACCACATCCACCCACTCTCCAAAGCGCCAGAAGCGGAAGTGGAAGATTCCTGCATATGAATCAGGTTTCTCTGGATCCCATTCCTGCTCCCTCCAGTCTGGGATAACCTGAAGATGAAAAAATGGAGAATAAAGACATCAGTACATTACAGTGATTTAACCATGGTTAAGGGGTGTTGTTACAATGTGAAACAGAGTGCCTAAACCCCCTTTGGACATAAATTTTGGATATAAAGAGCTTTACTAAGAGCTTTAATAATATAGCCTTGATATTTCTTGAATGTGTAAAGCCTGCTCCCAACAACATATTTTCAAAATTCAAATTTTCGAAAATGGCCTGTAATGCACTTTGCAAAGAAACCCTTCACATGCACATGTAATGTTTTATCCCCTTGTGCAAATGCCCTACTGTCTCTGTGGCAGGTTTTCTAGAGTGTGACACAACATCTGAGGACAATTTTAATTAATGTACATTTTTCTTGAGTGTCATGATGGTTCAGATAAGTTGTAAAATTGTTCAAATACAATACTTCATTGTTTCTCACAGGCATATAACAACAGAAAACACTTCATTATTTAAACTATGAAAAGCACATGGATGTGGCTTTGGAACTCACTCACTTGTTCATGTTTAGCAGTCTGAAGCTTCTTCAATAGATGCCGCTATTAGCATGCAAATCATTTTTTGAGCATCTTTTTTAAGAGAAGAAAGCTCACAAATGCTTGTGTTTCAAATGAGCGGTGAAACAGTATTATATCATCTAATATTATCGAAGCTAAAAACCATATAAGCTAAAGATAACATAGGTCTAAGCTGCAGTTGACCATGCATGTGTTTGTGGGGGGCTGGAGGGGTGATATAACCATTAATCCCACTTTTAGACAAGAAAATATTGTGCTGATTATTTTTAGATATCGCCTGGGCATAATACAGATGTGCGCAGTCATATGCATGTGGACATCGAGTATTTTCTAATGGTTTTAGATCCAGAACTGTGTGATTTATAACACGAAGCGTATAATTACGCCCCATACATGCCCTGTCAGCCTGAGCTCACATCCTGAATAAAAGACCAAGTTAATTAATCACTATGAATTGCCTAATGTGTATTTATGACTCTCAGAACTCAAATAATTGTCTCCGATGCCTTCCAAAAATGGAACAGGGGTGATGTTTGGCTCTGCGTCAGCATTTGCTGCTTAATCATGGCCTGCCATGTGATTTGGCTTTAAGAGTTCCACACAGGCAAGTGGGCTGAAGAACGACTTCCTGTGGGGAGGAGCCTTGCCAATCAAGGTTTCCAGTTTAACTTTGCTCTGATGACCACTTTCGCATATTTAGCATGAGCTGCTGTGAGGATCAGGGCCGGCGACACAGAAGCCCTCATCCCAGCAGGACGGGCAGCAATTTGCAGAATGATAACAGCTCCTGCTGGAGAGGCTTCAGAATGATTTAGAAGCCATGGAGGAGAAGTGACTCTCTTTCATCGCCATGGAGCTCCTAAGAGACAGCACAGAGATTGGATTTCAAGCACAGTTCTGAGGTAATTGTTCAGAGAACAGCAGGTCTATTACCTCTGCTGAAGTACATGCCCTGATAGTGACTACGTTTGACATTTTTTCTCTTATCAAAAGAAGCAGAGCTCTACCACTGCTGGTACCTTTCCTCTACACATTATAATGCTGGTCCTCGTACACCAAGAATACCAATGCCATCCATATCAATGTTCACCACGCAACAGGTACTGACAGAATAGTCACACAGCAAAGGCTGCTGTTCCATATTCCCAGAGGAACTCCAAACATCACAGCATTGCGGTTGCCTTGAGCAACAAGTCCTCATGACAGGAACCCCCACTGTGGCACAATTTGCTTTATAGTGTGTGAGCAGATTGGAGTGCTGAAGACAATGGAGCAGCAGGTGGATAAAACACACAGAACTGGACATTTTCCAAAGTGAACTGAAGTCACAATTCAGTCCTTAGAGAAGAGAGATGGCCAGATGTACTCACAAGCGCAAATAAAGTGCACCTTGATGTGCCCACAATATGCAGCTCAATGCACCTGAATTTAACCACTGATTTTCTAAGACAGCAGCTTACTACACAAACTGTGCATAGCCATGCCCACTAACAGCTTACTCATGATGCACAGGGTTTACAAGGCACAATGAAATAAGCTACATCAGGTCCTGGTCAGTTGATGGCAGACATTCTTTCAGCACCTGTTTGAGGCTTGTGTCTCTGCCTAACCACTGTATTTGCTGCCATTGTTGATCTATTAACATATTTGATGCAAATTTCCACCTGGTTTTAAAGTATGCAGTGTATGCAAATCCATGCAAAACCAGCTGCTGCTAGTTGCTCAAACTCTAAGAAATTGAGCAGAATATGTAATAAGTGTGTAATATATGTGTAATATCTCCACAGACATTTTGCACGATCCTCCCACGTTTTGCACAGCTCTTTCTCAAATACACACGCATGATAAAGAGAAGCGAACATAAACATGGCCTATAAACTGCGTGTTTAAGCTTGTGTTCCAGTTTTGTGTCTAAAACATGGGCAAAATGTCTACGATTTGCAGCTGATTTGGGCCCAGTCACTCACACCCTCACGCTGGCTGAGGATTCTCCACAAGGGGGCGCTACTAGCACTCAAACAGCTTTTGGTGCCTCACATTCATGTAGATCTGTGCTGGTAACAGTTTTTTCCTTTCCTTTACATCTTTGCACTGTGATTTTCCAATTGTCCCTTACACTGAAGTTGATGCAGGAGAAAACACAGTGACACTACGCAAGATGAGTCTTAATCTTCGTCAAATAACACAACATAATCAAGTGCAGTTCAGTGAAAGTTTTGGTTATGGTGTACTGTCATCTTTAATTAGGCTAAATGGTGCAATTAATCTAGAACGAAAGAACGGAATTGTAAATGTCACACAAGCTCTTTGTACAGGCGTGATATCTGCCTACAACGTAGAGTGCATTTAATGAGCACAGCTGCATTTCTAAAGCAATCTGATCTATGTTAGGTCCTAAAAAAGGGACGTTCATCTACAATATCACGTCACCCATTGTCTAAAAGGCCAGTTATGTTTACAAATGGGAATATTGCTGCCTTGTTATGGTTTACAACATATGAATAAATGAATAATGTTTTGGGCTTCTTTTTTTTTTACTTTTTAAAGTTTTTTTTTATGTGTTCTTACAATCACCACTTACAATCACCAGTTACTGTTACTGCGGCAACTCAATTAACCATATTTTTGGCACCCAAAAAAGAAGTAGCCCCTCCTCCCACCATGACTTGAGCTGACAGTCCATTCTGACCCAGAGCTGACAGAGGTGATGTGCAGTCTTTGCAATACTGTGGCCAAAAGAGGCAGCACAGAGTGCATCACTTGCAACCCAAGAAGGATGTCTACTGCCTGGATTCCTCCCAGCAGGCCTTGCACTTCATCTACTGGAATGGACACCCCCCCCTCGATTGACTGACAAGGGGTGTCTCCCAGCTCTGGACACCAGAGCTCACACTCTTGATGAGGCACCAGCTCCTGGACGGTGTGGATAAACCCATTCAGTGATACAAGGCTGACAGGTGTCTGGAGAGATGATAGCTGCAATGGCTAAATCATGTACGTCATATTTACTTTTGCAGAGGGCTGCAGTGCAGAGGCCATTGAGTGCTCCATAGAGTTAGAGGTCTTTGAGTAAGTAAGTGACAGAGAGCATGGTTGACCAAACCTTTTCTTTCTGTGTTTGCAGTTTTTTTAAGCTCTGCTCTGGTTGATTGCTTCAAGTAATATATGAAATATTTTAACATGGTACTGAGGGTGCAGTTGTACTATAGGCAGTTGTACTTTTTCCAGTGCAGCAACTCTATCCAGCTCTGGACACTTTGGACACTGAATCAAGATAGAGGTAATCATCTGGTTTATTGAATTAGTGATATAAGTGTTCTAAGATATTCTTTTGTGAAAATTCCTCTGTGCAATATGTATTAAAGTATCATTCTTTTCAGGCAAACTCTGAGGAGAGAAGAGACACGAGGTCATGGACAGTGGCACATTGTCCCCCATTTATCAATGCCTGACCCTGTCAGGAAAACAAACTGCAGGGGGAGCAGAGCAGCAGCAGCAGCAGCAGCAGCACTACAGGGAAGCCCTGAGAGACGGCCTGACCGGGTCTGCGTGGGTTTGTAGAGAAAAGGAAATGCACCACTGGCAGTGGGAAGCTTCTCACTCCCTGGGGGAGGATGAAGAGCTAGAGGGCTCCAATAGTCTTCTATGAATGATTATCAGCTCCTTGGAAAATACACTCAGAGAATAGTTTGCTAATGGAGTAGAGAGGACAAACTCATTATACACAGGGTGTACACTTAATTTTCTTAAACATGAACACAAATCACATTCAGTCATGTCATGTAGTTTGAATATCATGCAACAGATGACTGATGCATCTTTGTAACAACTTCTCTTAGCGAAGAAAATGCTATTAGTACTTACAGTACCACCATCTTCTTTCTTACAGTCCAGTGTTCATATCCCTAATCTATAGGACTATAGGACTATAGGGCCAAGCACCAGCATCTTAATTCTTTATTTTGTTTAATAACAGTCTAGTGTATTGACTCTAGCCTGTTGCTATCAAAATGACTCAGTGGGCCTGATGAGCACAGTCCTTTGCATCAGTTTGGTGCATCAGATGCATTCTGCCTGTGTATTATTACATTTGCACACAAGCCTAAACACATTTCTGGGCCACGAGCATGGGAGAAAATGCAGCACACATCACAGCAAGATAGAGGCACAAGCATGTGTGTATATTTACATATATACTGCTGAAAAAAAATCAAGAGTCATTTGGTATTTACCATCTCAACTCTCAGAATCAGATGTATGCACACACTGTCGGTGTTAATGTGTACCCCTGTAGAATGTTTTGGTGGTAAAGAACTATGTTTATTATCATCACTATGGCTTTCTGAACTTTTTGATTTTCTCTTTTGCCCCAAATTTGTTTCTATTTGTTGGTATACCGATTTAATGTTAATTTCATTCATCTGGCTCCTACAGTTTGTCACTGCCTGCAGAGAGCACCCTGACTGGTTACATTCAAATCAATGCAGTATTAAACCAGTTATAAAGGAGAAGAAGTCAAGTAAAGTCTTTTCATGCAACAGTATGGGCAGAATAATACATTCATGCCAATTATGTACAATACTGTGCAAAATTCCTGAAATATTTAACAAGGTTTTACTTAGACAGTAAGCATTTATTTGCTCATAAAAACACTAATATTAGAATTAATGCTAATGACCTTAATGCAATTAGTAGTGATTTTATGTACGTCAGTGTTCTTATTTAACCATTTCCAAACCTCTCCTTGAGGAAGCACAGTAATATTTGTAATTATCATCCAATACCTAGTTTAGCTAATCAAGTGTGCCGGTGATGGAATTTAATAAATCTGTGTGATGGTGATGATGAGGGTGTCCAGAAGAAGCCTGGAACCAAATTTTTATTCTTCAAACTAGCTTGTAACATCTCAACTACTTGTCACTTTTTACTGCATTAATGATGGTATGTACTTATTGTAATCATAAAGAATTCAACACAGAGACTGACATATTTAAATCTATGGTCACATCGTGCAAAGCTAGTGCTTCACGATTAAAACATAAGAAGAGACACAAACTTACCTTCTGCCAGAGAGACTCCCGCGAGGCCAGACTGGAGCACGCTGCCACAAACCAGCAGTTTCCCAGCTGCCCTTGGTGCAGGTCATGGGCACTGATCCCATCCACAAACAAGTGAGGGTCATCACACAGCTCCTGGTGGAGAGAAACAGAAACCAACAGGAGAGACCAGTTAGGAAAACAGAGGGCGAGTAGGCAGGACTCACAAAGAATGAGGAATAAACTCACATGGATAAACACAAGGGAGTGGTAAGAACCTGACAAAGACCAGGATTCTTGTGGATTAAAAGGACAATAAAAGGAAGGAAAGGAACATGAAATGGATGTCCATGGACATACTGAGATAGAGACCACAAAGCTCCTCTCACATGAAGGAGGGAGGCACAAGAATGAAAATAGATGGTGGCTACAGGCTGGAGTCCACACTCAGTAGACATTTACAGGCTACAGCTCAGCTGAAACTGTTCTTGTCTGCTCATTTTCCTCTCTTCTTCTCCTGTAGGCAATCACTAGCCTCATAACCAGTTCTGACTTTTCAACAGCTATCAAGAAAGTAAAGAAGACTACTTTCACATCTTGTTTTTTAAAAATGCACCAAAACATCACAAATACACTTTGTGTACACAAACCATTGCTGCTTAGAGGAACACATCAACAATACCACTGTCTACCTGCTGTGTGCCTTCAAATAACAAGAAAAGTATAACATCATGTGTTTGATAGTATTTTTAAATATGGCACTACAGGGGCATTTTCCAATGATATGTATTGTAATATTTAATAAATAATGTCTAACACTGAGTATAATGAATTTTGTTCAACATTTTACACACAGAGTTACAGTAAACCCAGTTAACACCTTAAAATGGCAGACTTATTACATTCTAAGCCTTATTATTTAGTAACTATATGGACTACAGTACAAATGTGATTAGTTTTTCTTAAGTTATAGAAGTGTGTGATAAGACATTGGACCTGCTGGCAGGTCTTGGCAATTTAAGGGGCCTATGAAGCTCTCTTTGCACTGAAACATGTAGTTGATCAGTGATTTCTATGTACTGACAATATCCACAATACACTCCAAAAAGTACACTGTGACGTCATGATACGATCATATATTCTGCCCGCCTCTAACTCCATTTTTTAAGTAAGTTGAGAGGAACATTACAACCCTGGAGTGTACTTGACAATCTTGCGATCTTGAGAATGTTCTCATTAAGTTGGAAAAAGCTTTTTAAACAGTGCAGTTCTGTTAACATCAACCTGAAAGGGACGCAGCTGAAAATGCAAGTTCACAGTGTAAGCAGACTTTAAAGAGGACCCAATTCTCTCTTCTGGCTCAGAGAATCAACTGAGTTTTGGTTCAATTAAGGACTATATTTTCTGTTTTCAGTTATTACTGCAAGCGTCCCAATTTTTTTTGTGAAATGGTTACATACATATTATATATATATATACACACACACACACACACACACACACACACCATGATACATATATACTGAAACCATCAGAAATTATATGACATATGATTACCATGACATACATTTTTCACAATACCATTAATAGTAGCAGTATAATCCCAATACTTGTATTTTTTCCCTACTGCCATACAGCCAAAGAAACGGGCAGCAAACTGAGGCACATATTTGCTAAGAGCCTTTCAGGCTGAGACACAGCACAGACCCCTTAATTAATTTCATAAGCATTATGAATTTGGACAAGGCGGCGTGACCCAGTCAGCCTCGATATGTCAGTGGACTCTCGTCACTTCGGACAGAGCACAGCATACCTCTGCACTGACCACAGGAACTGTCTCAGGCCAAGAGGGACAGAGAAACAGAGGAACAGAGATGTTAAAGGAGCCGAGAAGACAGCAGGCAAGAGCCAAGCCCAGTCAGAGTGCTACAGAGAGGGGAAGCAGAGCAACGCTCGGTGTGTGCGTTTGTGTGGGAGAGTGTGTGCACTCACAGGCTACAGCTCATTTACTCTCACCACTCACCCCCATGAGACTCTACAAACGAGTGCAGGAAAAAGATTAAGCATTTACAGTGGAGTCTGAACTGCTGCCTTATGGGCCTTTTTTCACAATGCACCAGCAAGTTTCACCATGTTTAAATATGTAGAGCACAGTGAACTTCATGCTTGATTTAAAGGCTGTATCAGATAAAATCTCAATTTCCACACTTTTACGAAATTGAAGCATTTAATGTACTTCACAAATACTGCTAAACTTTTACAATGTATTGTTCAATAAACTTAAATTCATGAACACATTAATATATGACCCACCAGTTCAGCCTACAGCAGTGTAACCCTGTCCATTCACGCTGAAATGATAAGAAGTGTTGTTCCTACAGACTGCCTTTAGCAGAGTAACTAGAGTGAAATAAATAGGTGAAAATGATGTGCTGTCCCTGTTTATTTCTGACTTGTGAAAGGGACAGCCAATCAGAATAGATATTATTTATGTATTTTGACCTTAAAGGTTTAATTCTACAAGATAAAGAATACACACACATACACACACACACACACATGCACATCATCCAAACGACTTCCTTCTGGGTCGCGGTGGGGCGCTGGAGCCTATCCCAGCTATCATTGGGCGGAAGGCAGGAAACACCCCGCACAGGTCGCCAGTCCATTTCAGGGCATAAAGAATGGAGATTATAGACTATTTAATTCAGTGGTTCCCTAACTGTGGTTCTAGATCATCTCTGCTTTGCACGGTTTTAGTGTTCTGACTTTTACAACCCCACTTAAACCTTAGTAATTTGTTAATTAGCTTTTACAGCACGGAAAGTCAAGTCAAGTTGAAGTTTATTTATATAGCGCTTTTTACAACAGGTGTCACAAAGCAGCTTTACAGAAAAATCCGGGTCTAAGCCCTCATGAGCAAGTCAATGGCAACAGTGGCAAGGAAAAAATCCATAAAAAAGCACCAAAATATGTAGGGTAGGACGATGGCAGGATCGGGCTGAACTAAAAACAATTTTACTAAGTACTGGGAAATGAACTGAATAATAATTTTGCAAAATTATTATAAGTTAGTATTGCTATGTCCATCAACTTTCCAACTCAGGTGACCAGGTAGCATCCATCACTAAAAGACTAAAAAGTTCAGTAGCACAAATGAAAACATAGTACAGAGATGAGTATATTTGAAACATTTTATTATTCAAAAATAAACGGGCTTCACAAGATGTTCAGTGCAGACATGCACATCTAGTGCAGATGTAAGTTTTCATGTCTGATAATGAGGGGGTTTAACGACTGAAGCTGCCCCTTCAGATGAGTTAAAGCTAACATTAAAGCTAACACTGAACTCCTCTTAGCATTGTTCTGTAAAGACATTTATAGCCAGACATGACATTAAAATATGTCTAAGCAAATACAGTAAACTAGATAAAGTTTATCCTACCTCAGAACCTGCTAATAGTATTTACACTGAACCATGTTTGTGGTCTTCCACAGAGTTCAATCTAAAACCTTATCAGCTGAATTTTTCTTAGTCAGAATTCTACAGTAACATACTTTCATGTCTCTTATCCTAATAATTCGAATTTACTGCCATTGCCGTTCTCACTACAGGTTTGTTCGGGTGAGTTTTGTCATTACTTTTCCTTTACTTGACAAAGGAATAAGTGCTTAGAGATGTTGGTGTCATTCATTATTTTGCAAATGGTCAATTGTATGGTACAGTGATGGCAGATTAGGTTAGAAAATGGTGGAGTTGCTATCTAGCACCCACACACAAACTAAACACACACACACACACATACACACACACACACACACACACACAGCTTCCCATTCTCTTTGCTGCCTGAACAGCTTGCCAGCCCTCAGCAGGTGGTTCTGTATTGGTTTCAACAACTTCTCTCAACAACTCACGGACATCACAGGCAGGATATATTTTATTGCGCTCCCGCAGGGTGGGAAGATGAAGTGTGGTGATGTCTCAAACGCGTGGACGCACGTACACGCACTGGAAAACATACACCTCTATTTTCTGCCACTCACAAACCCAACACAGCACGAGACTGCGGCCTTTCCGTGTGCTGTCTTTCCATTTTGTCTACTCACACATTCATACAGCTGTATGTTCCCACTGTATGAGTGATTTTCTATCTAGCTGTCCCTTGTCCAGACATGATAGCACTGCTGTCTTGTTTGTGTTTGCATGGAGGCTGAGTCAATGTTCACAGGGGACAAGAATATAAATAAAATCTTTAACGCAGTGATTCAGTGCTGGCTGCAAGCAACAGACGACAAAATGTCAAGTGCTTCAGAAACACCTGTCCAGTTCATCCGCTGGCCAGATGTCAAACAGATTTTAGTCTTATTGATTGAGTTTAAATACATGATAGAGATTAAATATGTAACAGTTTCAGTACAGCATCAAAAAACTGAAAAATGAACATTCAAAAACTGTCAAAATGTTTTAACTATGTTGCAGATACACTCCTAAGTAGGGGTGGGAATCTCTAGGCACCACACAATTCGATTCGATTACGATTCAGAGGGCTGCGATGCGATTGTAAAACGATTATCGATGCCTCTCGATGCATCTTTTTTTTTCTATACAGCATTTATATTTTCTCACTGTGTGAGCTCAAGTTTCGAGTTCAAGTTTCAAGTTTATTTGTCATTTGCACAACATGTCAGGACATTTATGCATTGAAATGCTTGTGTTGAGGCTCAGCTAATAACTCTACAGAAAGTAAATAAGTAAAAATAAAAATACAAGAAAAACCAACTGAAATATATTAAATATACACAAAATATACACAGAATATACACTGAATATAGAGACAATATACATTTTAAAGTGACTAAGTGACTCAGTGTTGTTATTTAAAGTGACTTGGTACTTTTACTACTCAGTCAGAATTTAAGGTGGAATGGGAAAATTCAAACAAGAAGCTGGAGAATTAGAAGCGACTTCAGCCTCGTAAAACAGTCGAATGCTGAGAGACATTTTACAATAAGCTGCTCTAGTTTTGAATAAAAGTTTCCTGAGGGAAAGGGGAGGAAAGCGGCTAAAGCTTGAAGCAGAGCAAAGTAAGTGCGCTCTCGTTTATATTGTTTAGTCTATACTAGGACATTATCACATACTGAGACATACTGGA